CTTATCCCATCTAGATGTCCGCAGGCATTCGTTTTCACAGCGAGTCATCGGTGCCTGGAACGGACTGCCGGAGGAGGTCGCAATGGCGAACACGACAGATGCATTCAAATGCATCCTGGATGCATATTTACTTAGTAGATACCGTTCATACGCACAGGAAAGCATTGTTAGTAGACACGAACGCTTTGGTCACACATACGGATAACAAAATTGCACATCTGCATATGTTACTCACTATTTTATAGTAACATATTTTATGTAAACTGTTTTCAATAGGGTCTTCAAAGGCATTGCCTGCTAGCCTAAATATACTGAACTAACTTTCTCTGGCAAGCCCATGAGACTGTCGTGCCTCTGGGCTTACTTTCGAAACTCGCCAACAGCAGCGGCATAGCGGCTTGTCTTTGTCGGCAATGCCATTCTGCCTATGAAACCAGCATCTATGCGGCTACTGGTGGGGCTCAAGAGTGCGACCTGAGGCAAGACAGGACGAGTCCCGTAACCGGTCGGTGAGCGCTTGTCTACCATACATACAAAGCGTCTGAGATAAAGGCAGATGTACCAACTGGCGGTAAGAATGGCAGCCAACTAGCAGGCCACAAGATGACGGCTGACGGAGGATATTGCTGAGCCTGGAATATCTGCTGTCACAGACCCTCGACAGGCCTTTCTTTGGGGACCAAATAAAAGGTAAGTAAAAACCGCGTGAGGTCAAGGTGGCCGTCTGGCAAATGACTTACAGCGTCCTTTTCCGACTGTGCGGCATCAGGAAAGGGTACATCAAAATGCGTGTGCAGGTCTTCGAAAACACGCAGTGTGAGTGCATCATAATTCTCCCGAATTACTTCGTAAACCTGCAATACATAAAAAAGAAGGAAGTAGAAGCAGATACAAACCAACGAGCCCGCGTCACAGACGTTGGTTTTGCAGCCAACAGGTCGCGGGCTCAATCCACAGGGATGACCTGTGTTAGCCACTTCTCCCGAATGGTTTTCTCTCGGTCGTCTCCCCACCCTGCGTGCCAAAATGTTCTTGGAACCATAACGTTTTCCCTAATTTGCAAAAAATTGGAAAGCAGTGGGCATCGGAGAGCTAGAAATTTGCACGTAACAAAAGTCGTTGCAAAAATGGAGAATAGACAGTTTCAGGTGCCAGAGCTCACAGCTTAACTAGTCTGATGTTTCGGAGTCTTCCTCGAATCCAACATAAAATACAAAGTGAGATAAGAATATAATAGATCGCCCAGAAGTTGTAGCTAGGCCACCGGCGCGGCTTTCGAATTTGAGCCACCCATTTTTTTTGCTCTCCATTCA